GTGTAGGAAAATTAAAAGTTGAATAAGGACGGTCTATCTTATCTATATGATTATACAATGTGTCAACGGCATAGCTCCTTTGCGGTAGAGCGTTTACAAAATTTACAGCATGCCGTGCCGCATGACAAAAGAAAACGTTGTTTTGCTCGTGCTTAATTTTTTTCTCTTCTTTTGTTTTAAATATATGTTGAGCGAGAACTTAACATGGCAAAGTACTACGCGAAATCTGTCCAGAACTTCAGAAACAAACAAAACTAATAAACTCTAAATATACAGCAGGACTCTTTTCATGGTGTTCTCTTGCACAACAGAGTGACTTAGCCAGAGAAACCATTATGACTAGGAATTTTTCTTTTTTCTTCGTTCCCTCAGCATAACGGGAAGCCGCTATTCTTGCAAATATGATTTTGCCTAACGGCAGACCGTTATTACGGTCTTATTTGCTATATTTTGATAGAGTAGTGGTCAAAGCAGACCGACAGAAACCTTCGCTACAACTGTGCACGTACGTTACAAATTTAACTAGATTCAAAAAATCTGACTGTCTTTTATCTATATTATTAGATGCTTTAATGATTGGGAGATATATAAAATTTTTCAAGTATTTGTATTGTAACAGCTTTCTCTCTATAAATGAACTCCCCTGCCCATCCGTTTTTTCAAATTACTATTGTAGTCTTATGTGACTTATTTAAAAACTAAGTCTGTCTCAAAGTTTATCTTATGGCTCCTTTAGTATTTATCTTCAAAATGTTTTGTAAAAGTTATTGTAAAATTCCAATTCGAATTGCTTTTTTGAAAAATTATGTTTCGTGAACAACGCGTATTTAGTTTGCATATTTACGTTTGTTTTAGAACTATATTGTTTTATAGAAACTTTATTTAACGAGCAAACGAGCTGAGCGGTTCACATTTTATGCAGCAGATGATGTAATATATTTATGAATGTTTCGCTTCCTAAATCGACCACTTCTCGAGTTTTTTTTAAATCTAATTTAAAAGCGTCTGAATCATGCCTAGCTAAACATACTTAAAATAAATTTCGCTAATGTGACATTTTTTTTCATTTTGAATAGTAAATAATTTATTTCAAATGCCAGTCTTATTAACTTCAATGTAAATGATAATAACAAGCGAATAATGGCGATTTTGGTTTTTATTACTACTCACGTGCCTTTCAACAAAGCAATTGAAAGTTAAACAGGCGCCAATTTTACCGCTAGTTAGTAATTTATTGGCGATCCGAGTAGTATACAAACAACTCATTCAGCCCACGTTTAAAATTACGTTATGAGAAAATTGAATTCGCATCCTCCTAAAGAAAATTTTTATAATGCAATTGACTTTAATCAAATCCTGCTAAGACCGGAAGTAAAAAAGAAATGCTAATTCAGTACTTAAAAAGAAATGTGCAAATCTATGATGGCGATGTCAATGAAAGTGCGATTAAAAAATCTCTTCAGGTATAAGAACGGCTGCCGTCGAATCATTTTACCAGCTATGGAGTGAGTTATACACTTAAGAGAGTGTGTTGAATTTAAATATATAAACAAGGACATTATTGTCGGGCATTGTCGACTTCTACGTACCTTACCAAGACGCGCGACTATGTGGTTTAATTTAGGTCCGCATAACTATACTCTACATCACTTGTTGTATAGGGCATACTAAGTTAGTGCTGACTTACGTAACAGCCAGAAAAGTTTAACATAGCCTTTTAAGTCACCTTTTATTATATCGACCGTTTCAGAAGCTTGTTTTTAAATCGATCTAAGTTTGTCTGACCGTGTGCGTCTGTTCTGTGGTCAAGCTGTAGGCCGCAGTTTTTGAGATATTTTAATGATATTTGACACACAGACGAGTTTTGGACCAAGAACAAACATTGTTGAAAATGTTTCGGACCGACCGAAATTTTTAAAATTTCGTCACAAATATCGCTTGGAAACATTACGTAGCAAATCTGAATTGATGTAAAATTTTGATATGGGTGGGCCAATTTTTTGAGTTCCTTGTCTTATAACCGTTCCTATGGAAACTGAATACGGTAAAAAGGCACAATTTTCAATACTTCTTGATGAAAACTTGTTCATAGCATGAATTTGACATAAAAATTAGGATTATCGAATTTGGACAGCGTATATTTCTAGTTTTTGGATTTCAGCCCACACAAGAAATCTTATGAAAAAATAAGACTTTATATGCCAAAAGGTCTGGCTGGAACATTTCAATTTTATTTTTTGTTGTATAAATTATAACATACAGCAATAAAATTTAAATGCGTTTAGTTATTCTTATGGAAATACATATGTTGCGCTGAGTAATAGATGGTTTTTGGATGTTTTGTAAATGTGATCCAAAACTTTTATCCAAAACTTTTCGAAGTGTCCAAGTTCGCAAAAGTTTGAAACTTTTTGGATTTTTTCTCATAATCGTGACGATACGCATGTAAATGTAAAAGTTTAAATGGGCTGTACAAAGAATATAAATACACAATTTTATTTCCATCCATTTCAATCCATCTAGCGATGGATTCTGCGATTTACTCCTTATTTCGGGCAAGGAGTATGATTGTGCTGCATAAACTTCGCCGCAACTACTTTTTTGCTGCATTTCTTTTTTAACTTTGACCTACACAAATTATAATTACTAATAGGTATTACTTAATATTTCAAGCGATAATAATTTTGATGAAAATACTTAGATGTTGAAAAAATTGTGGCTTTTATATTTATTTCATCGTTAATTTGCTTTAAGGCTGATAGCGTTTTCTCCTTCAAAATAAAGACTTAACTGCCACGACCAAGCGCCTGTTTAAACTACTCGAGAGCGGTTCTTTAGTAATACTTCAAGCCTTTTCTTAGTATTTCCTAAAAATTGTTTTCGTTAATTTCTTCTTCATAATAGACTTTTGTGGCACCAGAAAATGAAAGCATTGAAAATAATTATTTTCTTTTCTTCACATTTTTGAATTTGCGTCTTGAATGTTATTAGCGAATTTTTATATCCATTAATTATATCAAATATGTGCTCTTAGTTACAATACTTCACTGCACTTTCCCTTTGTACTTGTTAGTCGTCGGCAAAATGTGATTGATAAACTTTAGTAAGTATAGTTCAACTGCTATAAACTCACACTTGTTCGTTTTTCTGTACGAAAATTAAGCAAATATGCAAACAAGTACAGAGCATATTTGCCAATACAAATTCATTGACATTTTAATTTTAAATTTGCTGGTTTGTGTTCAACTATTTTATGTTGCTTCTCTATAACAATAACAACATCGATAATTTAAGTTAAATAACAGAAAGATGTTAAAAAATGTTCATAACTTTTTTGCTTAATTGTGAAAAGAGAGAAAGTTAATTGGTTATTGTGTTTTGTAAAACAAAAAGCAGGTAAGTTAAACGTTATAGCTATAAGGTAAGAACGACCACCATTAAACATTCTGCATCATTTCGTTTAATATAATGCTCCACTTATTTTGGTTCCAAAATGTCAAAAATTATAGTCCGTTGCTACTTTAATGCGTACTTTTCCTGTTAACTTCTGTACAGAAAGTAGTTCCATAAGTACGCCTATGTAGTTCAAATTTGCGACGCATTCAGGGCTAATTTTCATCAAAACAACCAAAAATGATCTAGTGTTGTCAATAAAAGTCATATTTTTTTAAGAATATTTACCTGGGTAAGGTGCTTCATGAAAGTCACATTTTGTCCAACCTTCGGCATTTGTTGATTATGTCAAAGTGGACTCTTTTTAACGGCTTTTCTCGAAAATGTACAAAGTGTCCCTTTTTGCCACCCTTTTTATACAGTCTTTTATAAGTGGTGTGTTCGCAAAAATAATTCGATCCAATTCATTTTCAATATTGCCTGCAGGTAGGCCAAAACACGTCGGTGTAGACAATTTCACTAAAATATTTTGAAAATTTTGGCCTGCATATTCAACAAAACAGAGCATCGACTGGTATCAGACAGAAAGGACAACAAGTATGTTTAAACTAAAACTGATTCTATTATAAAATACGCAGGTTGTCGCAAGCCTCCCATGCAAAAATCCGCGTAAATAAAATTAACCTTATCATAAATTTGTGCAAAAATCAAAGGCACAGGGTATAATAACTTAAGACAGATCCACTTTTTATTATACCGGCCCATCCAGAATAATTTTTGGTACGATCCAAGCAAGTTGCTATCCATGTGTTTGTGCGTCCTAAAGACTGCATTTTTTGAGGAATTTTGATGAAATTTATTACACTGACGTGTTTAAGTCCGAGAACAGCACCTGTTTAAAATTAACCGCATCGCACAGCTTTTTCGAACACTTCCCTCCTAACATTTAAGCATATTTGACAAGCTTTCGACAAAAATCGGTAAATATTGGTGTTTTAACGTATCAAAATTGTGCAGAAAATATTCATAAGGTGGGCTAGTTTATTGAACCCTTCCCACGTAAACACTCTTACGAAGCGTAAGGATTTATATAATATATAATGAAGGAAAAAATCGTTAACGATATCAACGTCCCTTTTTAGCCACCACCGACCAGTGGGATTACGTTTATTTTGTTAAAAAAAAACGTTAGAGACCCCAGAAGGTACAATGTCCGTTTCTCCGTCCGTGGAAAGTCTGCGGTAGACATTCGCTAGGCTGCAAAAAGGAAGCTATCGATTTGAAATTTGAGATAATCGTTGGAAATTTCTTAACGTTGGGCTTAATAGGTTAAAGAACATAAACTGGAAGAACATCGGTTTTCTAGAGTTTTGCTCATTACGCATAAACTAAAGTATGCACTCTGCAGTAAGCAAAAGCATAGCATAAGTAGCCCACCCAAATGATATAGTATGGAAATTTATTCTTTTATTTTTTTTGTAGCGTTTTTTAGATATAAAAATTCGTTCACAACAGATAATAATTTTCTTACTTGTAGCATCATAACTTGTATAAAGTCTATGGAATTTTATAGTCACTTTCTCTTTTCATTTTCGTTATTTTTACAGATCATGACGTAATAGTAGTGATGGTTTGCACATTTGTGAATAACGAAATTGGAGATCGTAAATATGGCGTCGTCCTCGTCTTCTTCAATATGTACTCATTTTTCGCAAAATGCATGGAAAAAAGACTTATGTTCGAATTGCTTCAAGTCCAAAGATGAACATAAGCAACCTATCTTGGCGACAATTGCCAAATTCGCATGTGCCCCTGCCAATATTAGCGGTAGCAGTAACAGCAACCTACATTCCCATTTCTGCCTGAAAACGGAAAAGACTGATTATCCTAACAAACATAAAATGCCGGCAAAAACCTGCATTAAGAAATCAAATTTATCCAGCAGTAAGAACAAATCCCATAAGGTATGCTTTTTGAAAAACCTCTCCGAAGTAATCGGCTATGGTGGTGAATGGTCAGACGACTCAGATGATGATGAGGATTTTATGAATTTGGCAAATGATGAAGACGAAAAAGTTTCTATTAGTGACGATGAGGAGATAGTAGAATTGAGACGAATTACGCGTGCCAACACCGATTTCAATATGAATAACGGAAATTTGTTGGGTGATGCGCAAGAAAATATTAAAAAATCGTTCGCTGCCTTAAAATTGGGGGCTCCTCAAGTGGATAAGGAAGGTAAAAAGCAGACTTTGCAAATAAATGTAATGCCATTTGGAAGCAATCCTCCATCTTCTAACCAAACGTTAGTTAAAACTAAATTTGAATCAAAAATGTCCAATGCAAAAATCATACCTGTCAGCACTAATACATCAACAAGTGATAGCAGGTTTTCAAGAGATAAAAGCTGCAATCGCTTGCCTTCCAGTACACTTATCCCAAAGTCTTCTTCACCCGCTCCTATTGAATCATCCTATACAGACGGTACAAACAGTCCACCAATTGAACGAGCAATGGAAAAATCTTTACTTGATGAAATTTCTGAAACTTTAGAGAAGAAACAAAATGAAGCTAAAAACGTTTCAACTAACAGTTCTTCCCCTGCGACGAGGGGCACTAAAGTGAAATTTGAAATTACTAGCTTAAGCGACTCGCCGGAAAATAAAATATTTCTCGATCTTAAAAAGTCTATCGTACGTAATACTCCGATCAGTAAAGATCAAATCAAGCCTAAAGTAAATGTGTTTCACAAGTATTCAGATACCGAAAGCATAAGTTCGGATAATGAGAATGGCTTGTCTGCCTACTACGATGTGGTGGAATCTCAGACAAGTTATGAAAATCTTCCGGATGGTAAATGTGCCAGCAAAGAAGACTCTTCAGTTGCTCTGAAGAAGATGAACGATTCCACAGATGCATCCAACACTATTTACAGTACTTCCCAATACATAACTGATATGTTGCTTTCCTCGAAAACACGCGCTGCTTCTTACAATTTACATGAGGGAAATTTTATGACTAGTAAAATAACTTCGGATGGTTTGATAGTTACAAAATGTACTTCAGATGATACTTTAGATTCCACAACCAGTAGCTTTGACGGCAGCAGTGATGAAGAGACCTCTTACAACGTTATTCGTAGTGAATCCGATTCGGGAATAGGTATAAGTTTAACGAACGAGTATAAAAATGTCGCCATAACCGCAAACGATCGCAAGTGTGCAGATCAAATTGCGAAGAAGAAACTAAGTGCCAGCACTAATAATTCGGATTATGAGGACATCCAGATCACCGAACAGGAATCAATAATTACCGTTAAAGAAAACGATATTACGGAGAAATCTCGTGAATTGCATGGTGAACCGGATGGCAGTGCTGATCCGGACGGCAGCTTAGAGCAGAAAACAGAAACAATGCAAAAACTACCGGCTCTCCCCAAATCACCGCCTCCTACAAATGTTATGGATACCCGTCCTCCGTTTTTAAATCGATTTTCAAAAAATCAACCTAATCTGCTAACAAAAAAGCCTGATTTACCTGTGAAACCAGCAGTTACTGCTTCCCAAACTCTTTTAAAAACATTTATAGCAAAAAAACCCGAAGAACCGCAGCAGATGAAAAGCCAACTGCAAACAACTACATCGAAGTCGCAAGAAAACTTAAACCTAAATGACTGCTCAAAAGAAGAATTTAAATTGAAAAAAGGCAAAGCTCCAAATCCGCCTCCTGAAACAAAATGTCACGGCTCATCTGCAAGCGATAAAGATTATAGCACCGAAATCGAAATTGTAGAAAGAGAGAAAAGGGAATTAACAAAAGAACAGGGCGCAAATGAAGGAGAATTACATAAAGTTCATCCTTCATCCAGCTTCAGAGAAAAATCCTCAACCCTATTTCCTTCATCTTCCGAATTAACACATTCTATTTATCCCCGCAAATTCACCAGTAACACTGCCGTTAATGGTGATAATAACTGTGGTACTGTCAGTAAAGCTATGGCTGCTCATGTCTTAAAAGAAAAGGATAAACGTGAAAGAGCTGTAATTAATCCAAAATTCCGCAGTCTCAATACTTTTGTGACACAGCGCAATAACGCTATGAAAAATTTGCAATTGCAGAATGCAGCTATACCCAAAGGCGTAAAGCACACATCTGAACCTAGCCCCAGAAATCAAAATAATCTCTCCATATCCGAAGAATGTTTGACAGAATCGACTGGGCAACCGGTTACTAGTTCAGCGTCGGTAACAAATTTGACTGCAGTCCTTGCCCACAATACTGTCGATAAACCGAAATCGAATCCGGGAAGCAAAACTAAAGCTAAATTTTCTATTAAGAAATTTTTACGAATGGGAGTTAGCAACAACAAAACTTCCTCAGAAAATTTGAGTAAACCCAATAAAGAAAGCATTTATTCAGAGATATGCACAGGCGAAGAAGCTAACATTTGTGGAAAACCACGTTTAGTTATTATACACCCAATCGATATTAATCCTACGGCTGTGGAAGTCGTTACGGATATAACAAAAACTGGCGAAACAATAGCTGCTCAAACGGTGGCAGTCGTTACATCGAAACCACCAGCACCGCCACTACGTTTAACAGATGGTCAACGTGTCCAGGACATTAATAAACCAGCTCGACCTCCACCGCCCAGAAGCGCGGAGCTACACAAAAAACAAAAGATAACTTTAATGGCTACTTTAGCAAATTCAGGGATTACGCCAGAATCAAAAATTAAGAGCTATAACACACACATTACAGGAGATCCGCCATCAAAAGGCATAACTAAAAGTAGATCCGATAATGTTTATGCTAATTTAGGTAAGTAACTGCGTGTTGACTGGCAAACGAAAAATCTTTCACTCTCGAACGAATTGTGCACATTCTGTTTCTTATGACGTCTGATTCTTTAACATAGCAAAGGAACAAACAAGACATCATGGTATAGCATTCACCTCATCTGACTAAGGATTCGAAATTCTGTTGCAAATCGCTGAGATAAAAAAATGTAACTTAACTATAAAATGACTGTAAGCAAAGTGTTAGTTTATGAAACACTCAAGTTATAGAAACGTGAGGAAAATATGTTTTCCTGTCTACTTTTGTAGAAGAAACAATTTCCGACCATCGTTTATTTAAAATCTACCGGAATTGCTGGAAGACTTTAAATAAATGCTGTTTTCTTTTCTTTAGTTTCTTTGGAACTAACAAAATTTTCACGACCTGCGCGCTTCCCTATCAAAACGCTGCAACCATTATCTCAATATTTTAATTTGGCGTACACTTTTCTCCAATTTGCTTCAAGTTATTTGACGCGTTTTCAATCTCGCGTAAATCTGGGGTCCCAGCTTTATATTGTACGCATAAGTTTTTCGTGCAGCGCGTAACTGTGGCTTCAAAATATTATTCAAGACATTGAAAATAACTTTGCGTAGCATATATTTCTCAGAAGTGAACAGCTTTTATCAGTTTCCACTTTACTGGAATTATTGGTAAGAAAGGTAAAGAAATTGTGAACTGTTTAGTAATTGGTTGGAATTGAATTATCTTCTCATGAATTAGTTTATAGAAAACATTTTTATTATGTCGCAGCTTTTGAACTACTCTAAAAATTTTTTGTCTGCGTTTTTCAAAATATTCAATCATTTTTAAATAGCATGTGGGCATAAATTTTATATTATATACGTGAGCTATATAGAACAAGTGAGCTTCCATTTTTACATCCAGAATAGAGAAGAAACTTCATAAAATATATATTCTAATAAATTTATACATTTAAAATAAATGAATCGCCGTTAACCCACATTCTTAGACACGTAATAAGTGTGTACTTACCCAGCTACAGAATTTATCGCATATGTTGGAAAAACAAAGATATAGATTAGTTAACTAACATAAACATCATACTATTATACATTGCCATGGTCATCAGGATGATGTAACAGGTTTTTGTATATGAACAACAAGATATTATATTTGGACAAGTTTCAAATCTGTTTGTGCGGTGTTAGCAAATCTTTCACAATACTTAACGCTTCTCTGATCTCCTCTTCAAAGTTTATTTTTTCTCTTCTTCTCAATCCATTTTCGATAATGCGTTGCTGGGTACGTAAAAAGTTAACGATGTCACATATGTACATCTTATGGTTCATGTAACCCAGTTAACGTCGAATGCTTCATACTTCTCGTTTCTTCCTCTCTGAATTTTGATTAAATGCTGGGCTTTGCTGTTGCCTGTGCTAAAAGAAATGATAGGATGGTATGCCTGTTGTTGTTGCTATCAACCCATGCCTCTATCCAGTAAAGTAAACTTGTCTGTACATGTTCATATCGATATTGCCTTTGCATTTCGTTTGCTTATGCTTTCAATTAAAGTCTGTTGGTATATATATCGTTCCGATAACACGCCATGATTATGACCAAAGCACATTGATACTATTGTCATATCCACATGTTTACACATGTTTAAAAGTATGCATCGCCTATGTATTGGTAGCTAGTTTCATATTGAGGTTAATAGGTGAAACGTTGCTTTGAAGGTCATATTCTTCTCTTTTCAGGTTTCTTAGTTTTTTTATTTAGCTAAGATTTGCCGATAAATCTAAGTAAATGGAGGACGTTGGATGCAATATGGTTGTGTGAAAAGAACTTTTTAGTCATATCTGCGTTTTCGGAGAAAAGAATGGTTTAAAAGAACGTAGATTAGTAAGAACCAAAATGGCAACATTAAAAAGATCTGAATCTGGTAAATGTTGTTAGCAAACTGCTGAATATCATAGCTAAGAAGTTAGTGGGTTCGCTTCTAGTGACACTATTTAATAATTTTGTAGGGTTGAAATAAACAGTCTTAATTGAAAACAGATCTACCGAGCAAATGCATAAATAAGCGAAAAATTGTAGCATAACAGATATTAATTTGAAATCTGGAGCAAATATTTCTGGATAATCCTTTTTTATCTTACAGTAAGTTTTCAAATTCCGGCTTTACTTTTCCAATTCACGCGGGTATCAGAAAAATTACTTTTAGTCTCATGCGACTTGAAGGATTGCTTTTTTTTAATTTGCAAATGTGACCAATTGACAAAAATGTGTTAAATATTTAGAAAGCTTTCATACCTTCTTCTTAATTCGCTAGGTGAAATCCGCTCGGCGATAGCACCACGCAAGCCTGAACGTACTGCCAGTATGCGTGAGCGCGAAGCTCAATTGGAATTGGCTCGTAAACGACGTATTGGCGGGGGGTGCACCGTCGAAGGTGGAATGCCAGAAACTATTGACAACTGTGATACTGTCTCGATTTGCTCGTCAAATGAGGAAAATGTATCTACACTAACACCAGTAGAACAGCAGCAACAACAACAAGAACAACAACTACATCCGACATCTGCAAATATGAATGATTCCAATAAACCAAATCATTCTGGCAAAAATACCTTCAGTCCGCTAATGACTATGAAGCGAATCGAAGGCAAGCCCCCCAGTGGAAGTGGTCGAATAAGTACATTCGAACGAAAAAAAAATGAAGCAAAAATTAATATATCCAATAAATTGGAAATATTCGATAATCTTGTCAACGGTACTAACATTGTCGCCCCCAATATTTGCAATAGTTTGGAAAATTGCCCCAACAGCATAAAGGATTCCGTACGTAAAATAACAAGTACTATCGACAGTTATCTAAAAGATAAACGAAATTACGAGAATTTGTATGAATGTGTAAAAGATCTGCCTAGCCCACCAGAACATCCAGCTCGTTCAAGTGACTTGCAAACAAACCAACGTCTCCTACAAACAACTAAGCGTAATAATTTATATGCGGATACTGTATCCGTCGCAAGTTATACTCGAAGCGAATATGGGCCAGCTCGGAACTATGGTTTAAATAATAGTTTAGGTATGAAAAGAATCGACAATTAAAGGTGCCTTCAAATTTCAATTAAATACCTTTTTGTTTTTTTTGTATACCCAGCAAATATCGCTCGTATGACGTCCTCATCGTATTGTGGCAGTGAAATGGGCGATTTAGATATATATTCGCCCTATAGTTATTATGGAAGTGAGACGGGCGGTGATATTGTTACGGATATTAATGACAGTGTTTGGGGAACGCCGGCGGTGAGGAACAGAATATGGTAGCCTTACAAAACAAAGGAATTAATTAAAAGCTAATATTTTTTTAGGCTTCTACGAATCGGGCGAAGACCGTGAACCGTTTGCGTATGCGCAAAGGCCGCAGTGTAGTACATAAAACTATAGAGGATAATTATTCGGCAGTCGTAGGAGCTAATCATGAAGCTTTGGCACAGGTGTTAGAGCAAGTAAGGAAACGAGTATCTTTGAATACACGACTTATGTTTCAATTTTTATCATTTTTGAAACACATCTAATTCTGTTTAAAATGCAGCTACAACAAGCACGCATAACATCGCCTGCCTTGAGACCCTTAGCCAATGCCATTAATTTGCGTTTTGAGGATTTTACAATTTTGGAAGGGGTTCAAGCATTTGTAGTAGGTAAAAAAGCATTCCACGCAGCTATTTGGGCGTCAGTATCCGTCACGTTAGCGCTTTCTGCTGACTGTAATCAATTAGCTGGCGCCGGTGGTGAGCTTAACCAATTATCGGGCAGTATATCCGGCGCTCTCAATCCCATTACGGAATTTTGTGACCTGGTCCCCAGTTACCATTTGCCTTTAATGCCGTCAACTGAGTTCACTTTATTGCAAGCCACAATATCTGTCCTACCACGTTTGCAGTTGGATACTCTGCTATCCATCGGAGCAATCCTAAAGGGCAAATCTCAAATTTTAGACAAAAGCAACTACAATTTCCGTGGTTCAATACCCAACTTAACCATATCAAAGGAAAGTAATAACACTAATGTCATAAGAAATGGAGTATCCGTGCAAAACCTGACTACGTTAAATGAAGAAGCCATGGATAAAATGAACACAGAAGAAGAAAATGAAACTAACATTCCAAACATTTTGAACGGGGCGCCAGCTTTTGATGATGTTATGACAAGAGAAGTCGCCTTCATAATGCTACAATTAATAAACGGCATGAAGAACTTGCAGATTAAGGCCATCGAAGAAATGCCTTTAAGCCTTTCAAATGTGGTGCTTTCGAAAGAAGTGGATAATAAAGATTCCCAAGCCAGACTTTGCGTGCTACAAGGGTAGGCCTTTATTAGCAAATAAATTAGAAAATATTGGTTCAAATATGTTTAAAGCAACGATTTCCTTGCATCTTTAACAGCAACAATCACCAAGAAGAAGATGAACCTATGGGTACCTTATGCAAATGCGCACATATTGCTTTAACCGAAATGTTGCCGCCTACAAAAGTGTCCAACGTTATAGGCGAAATTTTGTTGCAAGAACGCGCCGAGTCATTGTCAAAATCGAAATCAGTCTTAGAATTTATATTGTGGGGTCCATCCGATGTAGCTTTAACCGGTTCTACGAAAGAACGTGAATCGGCCTTACAACGCTGGCTAGACTTAGAACGTGCGACTGTATTGCATGGCTTAGTACGCACTCGTGTCGAACTTACCGTCTACGATGAATGTCATTTAATGTTTTTAGTACGCTCAACAGCCAAGATTATGAATGATGCCGCCAAAATCGTGAACAATGATTAAGGACAACGTAACTTGAAGATTAGACATCCACAAGAAGATCAACTTACAAAATATAAATAAATACGTACTACAGCTATTTGAAAACAAAAAAGTTAATGAAACTGCTTTATAATATTATAACGTGTCACAGCTTGCTTTCAATATTGTGCCAAATTTATATCGCTTTTCATCTTTTATAAGAAATGTAAAAATTTGTTCTGTATTCTTCACATGATTAGTTATTATTTTAATTTTTATTGCTATTTTAAAAAATAATATTATTTTGAATAAATATATTATCATATGTGTGGTTATAATTGCATAATATTTCTGATGTACTTGTAGAACCAAAACTTTATTTCAAAAAAAAACTTTGTATTTCGCCTCTACTTATTAGTTAATTATATCTAAATGAAATTGCATTGGTGATTGGACTATAATAAGTTAATAAAATATATTAAACCTTTTTATTCCCCCATGCACAAATTTGTCACATTCAAATAATAAATATATATTTGTAAACTTTTGAATGGCAGGATCACAAATTTAAAAAATGCAAAAGAATTAACCGAAAAATGCGAAGTTCGTCGAATTTGAAAAATCAGTAGATGATAGCTTTCTGATATCAAATGTGTGATGTCTACAAATACATCTTTGGAGAGCAGATAAAACCCTTAGTTTTTGAAATTGTAGAACTATAAGACAGTGAAACCGCCGGAGTGAGCGGACGAACGAAAATTTTAAAATCTAAGAACATATTTGGTTTCTTAGTCCCAGCAGAGCTCTAAACAATCGAAACTCTTAAACATAAGCCTGATCGTTGCTTAAATATTACGTCAACTGAAATTGGCTTTACACTATCGTAAATTATAAAAATGTGCAAGCTTGGTTTCTCAAGAGATTTTTTTTAAAGATGCGTTGTTCCTAATAACTACTAATATCGAGGGAAAGAATAGACAAAAGCACATCATTAGAAAAGCAAACCTAGAGTAGTTAACCCACAAATTACTATAGAAGCGGAACCTGTTGCTTTGAATTTTCACAAAGATAAGGTCTTAATGTCATCACCTAGCTTTTATGTGAATGGTGGTAAGCATTTCATAGCAATTGAAAAATTTGATTACCTGAATTTTACTTATATGTTTATTTTCAGCACCTCACATTGACCACCAATATTCGGAAATTGTAGCAGATGCAATATCTCGGTATCAACGATTGTTGTTTCTTGGGAATCCACCTGCTTAAGAGTATTAATGAGCGTGGTACAAAATTGACCAGGCGGCTTTTGCTAGCAAAGCACTCATGACGATTAAATCGCAGATATATGGCATTCGTACTAACATCTAAATGAACTTTGCCTATCTTTTTTATAATGGCTGTATTACAATGAGGTTTAGTTGCAAGACTGTTAAATTTGGCGGAATGTGGAGGCACTATGCTATTTCATCAATTTGCCGTAATGAAATAATTTTTCTGGTTGGTTCGGACTTTTGCATTGTTCTATAGAGTATGTCACGTATCTTGCGTTACCTTTTGCTTATCAATAGCCTCAGCTGTGGGTAATGATTCCCAAGGTTATTTTGCAGATGCACCGTTGAAAGTAAGCCCGCCAACGTTAACCGTCTATAGCAATATTATACATATTTCATTTACAATAATAGCGTTAACTTCAACGCTGAAAAACTTACACCTTTAATAGAATGATCACTTAGCAAAGTTGAATCCTTCAGCATCCTAATAACTACACTAGAAAGACTAAGTTTGTGATAAAGACATATCTACCTTTAGGTCAATAAGGTCAAATCCGAACACTGGGCAATCCTGGAAACAATGTGTATGGCGTTCATTTGTAGATTCAATAACCAAGCGTTGAAAATTCTGTAGCTATGCATTGTTTATCGATGAACAACGTTCTTCTGTAAATGAAATTTTCATCCAGTCTATTCGTCTGATTTGACCGCTCAGATTTTTCTTTCTCATGTGTTACGCTTTCTTAAACGTCGGTCTTCACTGTACTGCCGATATGTCTTGAAATATTTTGACATTAAACAGATGTATACAATGCTTTATTAATATCACGTCGCAACCGTTTTACGTCAGACGCGAAGACTAAATGAGGACTTGAAAAAACGAGAAAAGCCTTTGCCTTTCTTTGTATGGTAACGATATATAAAAGGATTGCGAAAGGTATAATCCTAAGATGGAAATTTCTAAAGGTACGGTTTGTACGCTTGTAGACTCGTCAAGGAAGCATTTTAGAGTTTTGCCACATACGGCCAATGAAATTATTGTTACATATTTCAATGCTTACCCACCAGTGTCCAAGACTGAAGATTCAAATTGCGATTTCAATAAAGAATCTTTAGATATGGTTAATATATTTGCAATTTAAGTGAAGTTATGAATATACCAGCGAATCCCATACTCAACGAATGAAACAATAAAATGGACCACCACATTCAAGACCTTTACAAAGATGCAAAACATATAACAACAGGCGTTTATCGTATAACATGACTAACTCGTACTGTGCTGTCGGAGCCATGTTTTTCGAAACATTTTCATTTATTTACTTAAGCAACGATATAATATACGTAATATAATATTAAAACTAAGATGTAATATACATCGAGGCAATGTGTTCTCTTTTATGACAAAACCAAGTTTTAAATTGCAAGATTTTCTGATAACTCAAATTTGTTTCCAAATACAATAATGGCAATTTTTGTACAGTGGTCGACAAGTGCCTTGTCCTGTGAAGGACCCCTGCATTACACATGGATTCTTTTTTTCTTTTGAAACTCTAGGCCGTTTTGAAATAACTACACTTTCAAGTACAGCTACAATTTCTGTAGTAAGCCTACGTTTTCCTTTTGAATACCGCAATTGCTTAGCTTTTTCCATATATGGAAGAACACTTTCACACACAATGCGCCTATCTTCACCTATCACTTCTTCTTCGTGGTTAATGCTGTCATTTTATATTTTGTATAAAGCTGTATCTTCTAGCAACGTGGAAATATTATTAATCATTTAATACCTATGCTGAACGACCTACTCATTGCACGCGGTGTTTTTTGTAAAATGCCTTTAAGATTCCGTTTCTGAACTGCTTAAACTTTTAATATTGTTTTCTTTCTCGATGTTGATACTTTTCAAAGGGTTTCAACATTACCCGAGCCAATTAGGGAACCCCCACCTACTCTCTCGAAGACCAAGTGGAACCAAAAGTTGTTTCGGACTCAATTCTCAACGATGCTAAGGTCGAGCTTATATATGAAGTTGTCGTTATTAATAATGACATCGCAAATTCGAACATGGTGGACGATAATAAAGAAGAATCAAATGCTGCAAATGAAAAAGCATCAATTCCACAATCCCCAAGTTAAAAAATTTCATATAGTGATGCACGATCTCGACCTCCTGTTAACAGCAATAATCCGCCGAAAGCTATAAAAATTCAGAAAGAACATTCTAGACGAGAGCAGCGAAGAAAATACAGTGGGAAAAAATTTTTAGAAATGCACTAGAAAATAGCTGAAATACCAAAAGTCATATAAGGCAGTCTTGTACACCATGACATTATGGAATATGTTGAGAATAATTTAATACTTACGAAAAATCATGACCCTCATTACAACCTTAGCCCAAAAAGATAAAAAGCCTAATTATCTAGCGCCTAAATATAAAATGGTTACATTTTTCCGAGGGGCAAAACACCAACATCGCACATGATACAGGTATGATTCGGAAAGTGTGATCCTTCCTTGTTATACATTTAGGATAAATATGTAAATATTTTAGAATAAAAATTCGTTTCACACAATTGACGCTCTGTCAAAGTAACAATTGAAATTCGTAATTTAAGTTTTATGTTTGTTTTTATTAAATATTAACAATTAATAAATAATTACTATTACTGTTAATTATCTTTACGCGCGATTGTTTTTGGAATTCTTAACATCTAAGATTTTAGGAACAAATCAGCTTAAGAATTATAATGATTGCACGATTTAAAGAGATTACTCGCGGCTAATATCATCTTGAACGCTACCACGAACTACCAGGGAACTGTAGAGTAGCGTTCTTTTGCTATTGCCACAAATGGTGTAAATTAACGAAATATCAAATGTAAAAAGAGTCTTTCTTATTTTGTACTTTACTGCGGTGTTATTTTTATTGTTCAAACTTGTACTATGTTTTTTTTATAGCGATGGCCGACGCAGATGGAGTATTTGCAAATTTCTCCACCGTTAATACGTCCAAAGACAGCTCTTTTCAAAATGTAAAGCAACAAATTTTAATCATGGTCCCCTTTATTGATCCATGTAAATGAAGTTGGAACTATTACTGGATCGTCATTTTAACCGATTCACACGTTTCATATATCTAAAGGGGTGTCAGTAGACTTAGACGTTTTTTCCCCATCGGCCAGTTTTAGTTCTTAATATTGTTACTTTTTAATATTTTATGATATATTTGTATTTGTTCAACTTAATAAGCAAAATAGGCTCATCTTTTGTTATACCGATCGTTTCATGGTCGTTTTTTAAATTAAGTAAGCTATACCTTTCCGTTGGCTCGTCAGACTTTTGCCTACGCCCTTTTGTATTTTGTGTGTGTGTTTGCGTATTGATGAAAGTTGGTGCTCTGGCCCATTTTCATGACTGCTACCCATAGAAATTCTTTTTTTAAAACTGTCATTATATAAAAAAGTTCGCAATTTTAAAAATTTTGTGCCAAAAATTGTTTGGTAATAGTATTTTGGCCTAATAAGTTGCTGTTTTTAAATTCTCTCTAACAACCGGCGTGTAACGGAAAGATAAGCCCTAACATTACAAAACTGTCTAATTTTTAACACTTCATATTTAGAATATTACCATTTGTATTCCAAGCCATATAATGGTTCCACGAAAATCATTGGACGAAGAAGGAGATTGCTATTTTCCCGTGGTGGAGTAAGCAAATGCGTCATATGCTCCAAATTTACATTGAATTCTTTAACGTCTTTGCGAAATGATTACACAAAATTTTAAAATGATATATGATACAGCTGTGCACCTGTTAAGGAAAATATAGCAACATCCTTTCGAAATAATTTTAGTTTTCTATCCTTCGCGGCCCTTTTTGGCAGTTCATCATGCATGTTTGAATGCTGAACTTGTAACATTAAGCAAAAATAAGTTCAGGCGAAGTGGTCGCTCCAAGGCGTACGGATAATTCGACTGAAAACTTTGCGAATGTATAGATTTTCTTTTAACATGTTCGTTATGCGCAGCAAAAACTTACACGGGAAGTTATAGAAAAACACAGATGCAGCCGTAATGAAATGAAGATATTAACTATCTTCATTGGAAATCTTAAATGCTTGCAACATCCATTCCTTAACATGCCGTTCTATTGCATACACTATATTTCTTTTATTTGTCTGGCATTCTCTAAGTTTGCAATTTCAATGTATTACAATTTAATCTCGCCAAATATACGTTCACACAAGAATATGGAGCCAGAGAGCTCTAAGTTATTCTCGCTTTTCAGCTTATTCTTATTGTGAGCAAACGTGGAAATACGCAAAAATATATAAATACATTTGATAATGTGACTGAAAAACTGGCCGGGACTGTCGTTATCACCCCAGATGAACAGCTAGTTGTAATACTTTTGTCAGGCTTATTGACAAATTATGCGTATTTGGTAATTGCCATTGAGATTAGAGATGACATGCAGATTTAATGCTTTAAAAAAAAAAAACTCTTTGAGCAAGGAGAGAGACTATGTCAAAAGGGTGAATCGACCTGACAAATGCTCATGCTCTTAAACATGTAT